ACCAATGATTAGCCCTTTGAATATCTCTTTGTACTCCAATTCCATTCCGATAACAATTACTAAGATTACTTATTCCTCCAAAATTATTCATATTAGCAGCCTTTTTGTAACATTCAAATGCTTTACGTTCATTTTTTATAACTCCTGTTCCGAAACGATAACAATTACAAGACTAGTCATACCCATTGCGTGCCCCATATCAGTAGATTTTTGATAATAAATGAACGCCTTATGTTTATCCTTTTCAACCCCAATTCCATCTTCATAACGGTTACCAAGTGCAAATGTTCCATCAGCATCTCCCATCTCAGCAGATTTTTGATAATAAATGAAAGCCTTTTGTTCATCCTTTTCAACTCCAATTCCATAAAGATAACAAAATCCAACATTATATGTTCCACTACATGCCCCATCTCAGCAGATTTTTGATAATAAAAGAATGCCTTATGTTTATCCTTTTCAACCCCAATTCCATTTTGATAACAATATCCAACATTATATGTTCCATCAGCATCCCCCATCTCAGCAGATTTTTGATAATAAATGAAAGCCTTTTGTTCATCCATTTCAACTCCAATTCCAGTTCGATAACAACATCCAACCATCAGCATCTCCCATCTCAGCAGATTTTTGGTAATAAATGAATGCCTTATGTTCATCCTTTTCAACTCCAATTCCATTTCGATAACAAAATCCAACATTATATGTTCCACTAGCATACCCCATCTCAGCAGATTTTTGATAATAAAAGAAAGCCTTATGATCATCATTTTCAACTCCAATTCCATAAAGATAACAATATCCAACATCGCACATTGCAACCGCATAGCCCTTTTCGGCAGATTTTTGATAGTATTCAAATGCCTTGCGTTCATTCTTTTCAACCCCGTCGCCTTTTTGATATTTCCATCCGAGTTCGCGAAGTTCAGCAGCTGTCTGATCCATGTTAAATGTGTATATCAAAATATTTTTTCGGTGGTTTTTTTTAGGTTTACTTTTAATTTAAACTTTTTTTTTCGTTTAATAAATTTAATTCGTAATTCTAGTAGAATAATTATTCCGTGAAAATTATACGTAATAAATTTTAATAATATGTAAACAAAACAAAATGCTTGAATAAATCTATTGCAGTGTATGTATTAAATATTTGCGAATAAAATTTGTGAAAATTCTAAAACTATCGTAAACTATCAATACATAAATATATGACGATTTCTATTTGTACACTAGTGTATGAAACACGGGTATAGTCATAAGTCAAAATTTTGCTTATAAAACCACTTTGGGGTTTTCTAACAAAAAATAATCTATGCAAAATTTTAGTATAAAATACTCTAACCCTAACCCTAATACAGTATTAAGTAGTTTTTGTTTTATGAATTTATATACCGTAGTGCACTGACAAAATACCCGGGTATATTATACAGCAGCGGGTCAGTGTCGCAAGAAAAAAATTTATCAAACATATACATATTTTGCACTTACAGTAAGCAGTCTAAAATTTTTAAAAAAACCTATATTTAATTAATAGAGATCTTGTGTTTTGCACCGGTACTTTGCAAGGGGGAATATTGAAAAAGGGGGATACTTTGGTCAGTGCACTACGGTACTACACGGATTTGCAAATTAATTAATTACGTAATACCCGTGTGGTGTAGATTTAGAAAATTTCTAATTATATAACTAATATATATATATATATATATATATAAATATATATATATATATATAAATATATATATATATATATAAATATATATATAAACAAAATTTATTGTTTAGGCCACACAAAATAAATTTCTTGGTTTTCATAACCCGGCCGGGTCTAAAAATTCAAAATTGGAATTTTTAATTTTTTTTAAAATTTACCAATAGAAATATAGATCGCTTTAGATAGACTAATCGACAAATAAGAATATACAGTGTTGTTAAAATTATGAGATTATCTATGCCAATTAAATATTGATTTACAAATTTTGTACTTTGCAATAGGTAATCATAGGTTTCAATATAAGTATGTTCTCTGCTATGTTTAGGCAGAACCTTTAGAAGTTAAACAGAGAAATGCGTTGGTCAAATTCAGTGAACTATGCGAAATATAATTGATTTTGTGTATTAAATATTAGGATAGAATTTAATAGCATAGCAGGCTTTCGTTGTGATTGGCTTATTTTTGTAGATCGTTTCGTGATCTTCATGAATTTTTATTGGCTATTAAAATTAAAAGTTTGTGTAATAAGATTATTAATACGTAATTTAATTAATTTAATTAATACGTAAAATTTGTAAATCGATCCATATCATTAATCAAAAATGTCTGCACAAGAAGTTAGCTCTAATTTGGGACAAGAAAAAGGAAAAGGAAAAGAAAAAAGAAAAGCTCAATATTGTGATTTGGAGAGTTATGATGAAGTTGCCTGCAACTATGACCTCTATGGTGCTTCGATCATAACTGATCAATTAACTATACCGACATCAAGCCAACATTTAGATCTAGTTGGCAAGGCTTTGTGTCGAAAACATTATAACAAATATATTGTAAATGCAAAAAAAAAAAAAAAAACTGAACTAACTAATTCATGCTTTCATCCCAAACATGAAATTTATTTAGGTACAGCTCGAAAAAATGCAGAAAGAATAAAATTCGGGTGGACGCCAGGCCGATTAATTAGTTTCTTTAATTTATCAAAAGAAGCAATGATGTGCCATCATTGCTTGTATAAAACAGATATTGATCCAGAATATATTAATTCACCCGATTATCCTCTACCAAAGGAAAGGATTCCAAAAGAAAGCGTAAAACAATTTAAAGGTAGGTTGTATCTTTTATGTAGTGACGTTATTTACTTTGAATCAAAATTTCAGGAATTGGAAACTGTGTACCACGAAATATGTGCTGAACTCGATGAAGCAAAATTAGGTAAATCGACAATTTTTATTTGTAATTTTTTTTTTTTTTTTTTAGCCCTTGCGGGACGTCGTATAATATTTTGTTCTAATTGTTCTCTTATATATTATTAAATTATTAGAGTTAATTCCTCTGGGCAAGAAAATTAAGCTAATGGCAGGGGTGTTATATATGAGGCAGCGTGTATATAACAAAAAGCCTATTTTTGATCCTAATGAGTTCAAAAAAGTGCTTGAGAATTCTGAACCGTCTTTAAAAGGTTTTTTTGATCAATTGGTAGCTGGAACAAACCCGAAAGCTAAGAGCTACATGACTAATGAAAAAAATAAAAAAAGATTAGTTTCATTTTGTTATTTTCTCACAGGTCTTAATAACAAATTTATCAATAGCATTAAGGCCGAGATAGGTTTTTTACTAGATGCATCCAGTGTATCTTTATCAGCGATTGAGACCTTGGCTGGTGCAGGTCTAATGGTAAGATGTGAAACTATCGCGAAGCAAAAGGCCCGGCATGTACAAACGCATACGGAGACGGTGGGGGCATTTTTAACGGAGAATGTAAGCGTATAAATTATATTAATTTTAATTTTTTTAATTTTTTATTATTTATTTTATTTTTTTATTATTTATTTTATTTTTCTCTTGATTTTTTTAATTTTTTATTATTTATTCTATTAATTGTATATTATTTTTTAACAGGTCGAAAATTTGGTTGTTTTAAACGTGGATGATTTTCATAACATTCACGAATCACACCGTAGTGATACAACTATGACATATAACACCACCCACTTTATTACGATACTTTTAAAAGCATTACCAGAAATAATTTCAATTCCATTTAATAATCCCAATCAGGAAAAAAGTATCCAAAATAAGGAGGGTATTGAATCAAGCATTATTATTGAGAATGCAGACTTACTTTTTTTTCTAATTTATGGCTTAGCTATACAGGTCGAAAGAATGCATTTTCCGATTTATTCGTGCAAGAAACTCATGACGAACGAGTCGAACGTCTCCTAATCCATAGTTACGACGATAGAATTGAACAACGCTGGGTGGATCGAAGCATGGAGAATACAAAGCTTGTCGATTTAAAAGAAGGATTTCTTCATTCGACTGAAGAATATGTAAATGCGCTTAAGTCTTTAATAGACGTTCCTGAAGCAGAGGCTTAAATGAGGATGCAAGTTTTTATAGCGCCTATGGATTACCCTAGACAACTTCATGTACGGCGTGCTATCACTCGTCGTATTAAATTAGGAGACTCTTCTGGAATTCCGGAGCAAATTTTGCATGTTGTTCCAATGATTGGACCCTTGCATGTATCCTTAAATAGTTGTGAAACCATGTTTCTTTTAAATTATCATTTTTTTGATATCCTTTTTCATGCAGTTTTTGGGTGTAATAAGGTGTTGGCAAAAAAGCCAAAGCCTTACAAAATTAATTTGATTTTAGAATTAGCAGGTCAAGGCTGGTCCTGAGTTCGTTCTTTAATTATGAAGAAGTTTGAATGTTCTAAAGATCCTGAAGCCCGATATCTTATTAATTTGTTGGATAATATTGTTCCGTTGGTTCTAGATTTCTATCCTATTGTATTTCGCAGTGGAAATTGGCGAGCATATCTAGAAGCAATGTTTCGAGTTTGGGCTGTTTTCTATCAATATCAACGGAGACATTATAATAAACTACCTTTAATGTTTTTAAGTGATGTATTTTATTGGTTTAGTACTAATCACCCTATTTTACAAATTCTTACAAATTCAATTCACATCTTCAACGATTATTACGTAGAAAAGTTTCACAGTTCACTTCAGCGACAAATACGTGAATCAAATTCAGCAAAGCAGGTCATTCAGGCAGCACGAATAGTTGATCAGATGCGTGGCAACAATTCTTTTAAGAATGTGTTTGCTGAAAATCATAACATCAGATATTCAGCAAAACAGCTAGAATATCTTGAAAAACGTACGGCGCTTTTTCTACTAAGATTTTTTACGAATGTTTACAGTAATCTTGGTAGGTCGAAAATTACTTCATCTGATGCACATTCGAGACCAAAAAAATATGAATTTCCAACACTGAAGGCCGAAGTCGACGTGGATATTTTACCAATAGCTTGGAATACATCACACATTCCGCACGATGATAGCTCTTGTGATTTAGAAGGCTGTGCAGATTCTTCTGAGGTAGGTTGTGTTCTAATTTGTGGGCATGCTTATCATTTCGAATGTTTTTTATTTACATTAGGGAGCCAATGCTGGTACTGTATTGATTACCTCGTAAATGGAATTGAAAAAAATTGTAAGGCTTTTCAAAAAACGCTAGAAGCATCTGGTGAAAAACCAAAAGCAGGAAGCTCAAATATACAGGAGAATACTGAAGCAAGTGATGATACTAGTGATGAAAATTTTTTTTTAGACAAAAATATTGATTGTAATAATATAGATTTGCTTGTTGAGGGAGCCATGGGTACTTTAGCAAATGCACAATTCGAAATGGATTTT